ATTGTAGCAAGAAATACTGACCTTTCGCCATTAATTTTGCTCCCACCCCCCACATGAGCATTGCCTCTCGGTGTACTTCACAGAGAGCAGAAATATGAACATATGTCTTTCACCTTTCAGAGCAGAGCAATGACTGGTAGGTCACCTTTGGAGACTGTTGCTTTATTATTATTGCTGGGAAGCATTTCAAACAGCTGTGTGAATTAAAGCCTTGAGTTCCCAAAGACCTGACCTACGTGCTTTGATTACTGCTTTGCTGTCTGGTGTCTGCTTGCTGAACTCAAGCCACCTCCTGTTTTGTTGTCTGCATTACCACATTCTCTGTTTCTTTCCTGTTCCTTTGCACTAGTGCAACAGCTGTGACATGAGCCAGGTGTCTCAATGGGATGTGCTCCTTTACATTTTGGGTTTGCGCTGCCAGGTTTGGAGTGAGCAAGAGTACTGCAAATAGGCTTGCCAAGTCCCCCCGGGGGGGCGGGGAAATCCCCGCCCCAGAGGCCCGTTCCCTGCTGCCGGCGGATCGGGCCTCGAGGGGAACCCCACCCCGACGTGCACGTTACCCGGAAGTGACGCAACCACGCTGGGCACGCTGGGGCGGGGCCACAATCATCCAAGGGAAAACTCTATGGTTTTCCCTTGGATGGTCATGGCCCCACCCCCAGCGTGCCCAGCGTTGTCACGTCACTTCCTGGTGACGTGTGCGCAGCGCGCGCACACTTTGCGTGCGCACTCCAGCTGCCAGCCGGGAGTCCCCCACTGCGGCTAAAAAAGCACTTGGCAACCCTAACTGCAAACATAGCATGAGTTCACAAAAGAAGGCACTCTTTTGAGTCTATTGTCAGCACTTTCCTCTAAAGCATCAGACTGCACTTAACAAGAAAATTGCATGTTCTTAATTGCATTCTTTGGGTAGGGGGAGGCGAAGGCGTTTGGAGGTGGCTGCAATAGATTGTTTCCAAATTAAAATCCGTGCAGCTATTTCAGTTCACATAGCATTAATCTGAAATCCAGTGACCCAGAAATAACCGTGTTGAGCGAGAGTGGGGGAAAGCCAGCTACATCTGGCTCTACTATGCGATCTGCCCTCTCTTTTAAAACCATTTTCATTTACCTGAAAACAAAACACAAAGTGAGCTAGAGCATCGTTTGAACTCTACAGTCCCAATGTGTGAAAAATCCCCACAGACATTTGCAAATTGTGTAGGATTTTGAAAATAGTGCTATGGATTCAGTGTAAAGTGGGGCAGAAATTTTAGAGTTACCTAACTGTAGCTGGAAGAGCCAAAGCCTTCGTCAGCTTCTATTTTAAACTGGTCAAGCTGATTCAGCTCCATTTTGCCTAAAAGGCAGAAGCCCTTCTTCCCCCTACTACCATAGGTAGTCGGGGCCTAACAGCCCAAGCGCCTCCATCAGGGCTGGATTTAGACTTGCTGAGGCCCTAAGCTATACAAAACCCAGAGGCCCCCTACTGTTTTAAATTACATCAGCTGGTCTCAGAAAAAATTTAAAATATATACGCCTTTTTAATATTTGAAATCATTTTTATATTGTTTTTTTATTCGAGGCCCCAGCAGATTGCGAGGCCCTAAGCTGTAGCTTATTCAGCTTATGCGTAAATCCGGCACTGGCCTCCATCCATTCTGCACCTCAGGCTGCCTCCTTCCTGACTCCAGCATGCCTCTTCTCTCACAAGGGCTGAAGTGAGTGTGACAGTAGGGTTGCCACTGCCAGCCTCCAACGAGGGACTGGAATCCTTCCAGAATTACAACTTATCTCCAGGCAACAGAGATCCGTCCCCTTGAAGAAAATGGCAGCTTTGGATGGAGAACTCTATGGCATTACATCCCTGCCGAACTCCCTCCCCTGCCACAAATGCCATCCTCCCTGGGCTCTGCCCTCAAACCTCTCGGAATGTTCCAACCCAGAGTTGGCCGCTGTACTTCAAGAATGGGGTATTAGGGGATACAAATCGAAGGCCCATGGAGTTACTCAAGTCTAGTGATTTGCCCTTGCCTCTATGTCTGCCACACTCCTCTTTAATGCACCTTAACCACCCTGTGTTTCAGGATGGAATAGTGGTTCCTGCATTCATTGCTACATACCAAACAAAAAACAGGGCAATGTGCACTCTGGTGCTTCTAAGGATTAGATTTAAAACAAAATTTTAAGGTCATATGTGCAAAGTGGCCTAACATTACTACAGAAGAATAGAACAGCCTCATTTTATATTTCTTTACAGAACTTACCAGCTTGTCACAGTATTTCAACACCTTGCTGTCTACTCAGTTTGTGAACGTGCAGCAGTCCCTCCTTTAGCCTTCCTTTAGCCTAAGGAGTTTTCCTCCAACTTAAGTGGCTCTCCTGCCAGAAGACAGGTGACTTAAGTTGAAGGAAGTCTCCTTAGGCTGGAGAAAGGCTTTGGTATTTTCTGAGCTGAGTGGCAGGATACAGATAGGGTTGCCAACCCTTGGCTAGTAATCCGCTGGACAGAGCAGAGACTGGGGAAATGATGTCATGCTAATGATGCAGCGTCACTTTGGGCAAGTATCCAGAAGTAATGTCATGTTGTCAGCATGATGCCAATGTGCCACTCTTAGATTCACCACAGGGAGTTTGGCTGAAGCCTTAAGCATTTGGTCAGTGATGTGATATGATGTCACTTCTGTGTATTTGCTGGAAGCGATAATTTCACTGTGAGGGTGACATCATTTTCAGGTTATCCCCCCCCCCCCCCCCCCCCCCCACAGGA